AAGAAAAAAATATTCTAACCATAAAATTAAATATTTGGGTCACTATTAATATCACAGCCTGATAATTACCGGTGTGATAAACAAATAACCAGTCTGAATTGTTACATGTATTCGTTATTAAATATTAGATTATCAATGGGCAAGTTTGTAATAGTTATGACTTATTCTTAATTACCAATGAATTCTATGGATGGACAAAGTCGCGCGAGAATAAGTTTTTGAAGATTATTTGTCAATTTCAGTGAATGAATTTTCCAAATACCTCCTATACTATACGTGCGTAACACATATCGTGTTAGTTGTGCTGTGAATCCACCAGCCTATCCACATGTATGGCATTTAAAATATTGTTTGGGGGCTTATTCAGTAAAATAGCTTATTTGTAGTAAAATTAATTATTTACAACGTAGTTTTTATTTTTATCTTGTTGTAATTGTAATTGTAATCACGTGATCCATCGTACTTTTATTAACATCTCCGAATTCACATTGTTTACAGTAATATATATTTTGTATTGACAGGACACGAAGTCAGGCCAGACTCGTTCTCGTCAAACCAGGGACGGTGACTACAACCCATGGGACGACGTTTCTTACAGATTCGGCATGCTGTGGGCGATACTCGGATCGACGATTGCATTGGCCGTTCTGGTTATCATCGCTATTACTATGTATTCGTACAAACATAACGCCTCGTCAACTTCTCGGCTCATCGATAGGCGAAGAAGGAGACTTTACGAAGAGTTAGCTCGAAATAGTCTGAATACTTCATTTTATGAGGAAGTGTCCAGTAACTTATGAGCTAGCACTCGACCCTCCCATATTCATGTTAATGCGAATATCGACGTATACGTAAATATTTGTGAACTATTAACTGTTAATGTTATTCCATACTTGGCAGTACGGCGATATGTTGACCGAATTTTGACAACGAGGGATAGTATGGTGTTCCAATATGCAGACATTGTTGTGATATTTCACAGACACATCGTATGGCACACGAAATCCCCACGTCAACTCGTGGGGGAAATTAACGAGTCATCAAACTTATCTATCTCAACGATACAAGGAATTAGATGCACACATATATGCTCTTACAGTGCAATCGACGAGTATTTTAAATGAAGTTGAACTTTTCCCATACACCACTGCTTACTTGTAGCGCGCCCGCAACCTCACACACATGCTAGTTTTATTACCTACCAACTGAGGGCGCTGCCACGTCACTGGAAGTGTGTAGTGCACATTTCGCAATAGAAAAAAAGAAGGGGTTGCTAATCAGTCGTACGTAAGACCGTTTGATGTAGATTTTCAAAAATTGAACCTTTTTCAGAGATATCATGTAGTCCCCACCTCGTCTGTATGTATGAATAAGCAATATGAATCTAATAATTTACGAACATTTTCTTCGTACAATTACCAATTCGAAACAGTTACCATCTTACCGGAAGTATAGCTTGCGAAGTGAGCACTATTTCGCGCATAGTAGCACAACAACTAGAAACACAAAACTCTACTATTCACCATCAATATTTACGAATATTCACAAATGTAATCAGTTTTTGTATTGAAAAGCTACCGCATTCTTCAGGAAATAAATATATTATATATTTTGTACATAGACATTATTGTGAGACTGGACTCTCTGCTATTCTTCATGTAATGTTTCTAAACCAAACCATTTACATTCATTCATTCACTGAATGAATGGCTGTCTGGGTGACCCTTCTTATTTCGTTGAATCTACCTGGGCTAATTCTCCCGCACATTTACCCATTTTCTATTTTATAAGGAATATAATTGCTGATTTTTTTTATTAATACTTGTTCTAAAATGAGGCCAGACTTATTCCAGACTTTGTTAATTTTCATAACATTATTGATATTGTTGAAACATCCTCTAAATGGACGATATTATAAATTACCCAATCTAAGAGATTCACAATTATCGACTACCAATATATAACTTGGTTCAGGCCATATGGTTGTGTGAATCGCCCGGTGCTTAAAACATACCCATATGTTAACATTCAATGTTTTTTTCATGGTGAGCGCATATGCGCATAACACTTTAGTCACACCATACGAGTGGTAATGACAAACGCGATCCAACTACAATAAAGGTAGACCGAAATGTTTATATACTGTAAAATGACTAATTTTCACTGGGCTTAAATTTCACTGATTCAGCATTTCAGGCATATTCAGTGGGTTTTAAATTCACGGTTTTATCATTTAGATAATGTGTTCCATGCTAAATTTTACATATTCACTGGGTTTTAATTTAGCGCATTTTCCAGTCAGCGAAATAAACAAAATTAAAACCCAGTGAATAATTAACCCCTTTACAGTACATTTTATTGATAAACATAACAGCCCGAATATTTTAATTCAATAAATAATTGTTTGATTCAATTGAATAGTTATTTATAAAACAACACAGCGTGTAGTAGTACTGATGTTATATATCATGGTGGATTTAATTTTCACAGGCGAAGTTCTATAATGATCAACCAAAGAAAACAGAAAAGTAAGAACCAGAGGCAATGTATACATATACCGACTCACTTTAACGATCTGAGTCTAACGATTTCCAGAGTGCAATCACCTATACATAAGCCATTGACACCAACTTTCCGTCAAAGAGCAAACGCCCAACACTTCACTGTACGACGATGTATTACTGAACCTATCTAATACTGCCAATACAAATCCAGGTTACAATAACACATATTGCACATCATAAAGCTAAACATATCAATAACAGGCATATAATTTTATAGTGCAAAATGAGCCGTATTTGTTATCCATAGTATCAGACCGTAATACCCCCCCCCATAAACACTGTTATTGTTAATACAACAGCTGCGAAGCATTATTTCATAACGACTGTATATTCCATTTGATGTTTCAATTGAATGAAGACAATAATACAAAGAGTCAAGAACTGAATTATAAATATATATACATATATTTAATCTATATTTTAATATAAATGGTTAAGATGATATAATATATTCCCATTGATTTTGTGTACCATAATTCAATGCCATATATTCAGTAAAATGATCGGTGGATGTGAAAAACACGGATCTTGTAAATATCAGGGTATATTTTCCCCACTAGCTAGCATCTATGCCGCAAGTATAACATGTCACTTGTAATATACGACCAACTCAGTGACCCTATAGTAACCAAAGTGTATTTATTACATTTACATCCGGGTTTGTTTTATATTATATTTTATATTGTCTCATGTTTCTGATATTCAAACCGATAATTTTATCTGTCAATGATATATTATTTGTTTTTGCAACTAAACATAAAATAGATCTAATAACTGAGTAAGAACACATACACATTGCGTAAAATAAAATTATAAAAATAACGTTATGCCTAATGTTATTGACAACATATTTCTTTAGAAATTCCTTAGACATCTCAAACTGTTTTCTCAAACTGAATTGTTGTTATTGTAAACACATGACTGACAGGAGTTTCACTAAGCATACAAGCACGGTTGAATGTAAATAACGAGGATTTTTTAAAGAGTGATTCTAAAATCATCAATTATTCATACTTACTTTGTAATATATCATCGAATGCAGCGTTATGGAATGTACACATCGCACCTGTGATGATATTGAACAGCATGTATATATCACGTAATGATTTGACGGTTACCTGGCAACAGTCCAGTTTAACCAATATTCGAAGTTGTATGCAAAAGGGAACAGGGAACTTGAAAGCGGCGGTGTTCATGGCAAACAAATGAGAACGTTTTGAATGTATTTTTTAATTACTTAATCACTAGAAACTTCATCAGAAATAATTTGAGGACGCTCTGAGATGCTGAAAACTCAATCACAACTCCTGTGAATATTATATTTAGCAAACGGCACACAGTGCTTTATACGCCAAATACTACAAACAAATAATACAACTTTAATACAAATAGAAAAAGCTGATAAACCTGGAATGGAATATGACATACACCAAGAAATGCAGAATACATGAAACAAAAAGTTTCTAATAACAATTGAACTGAATTAAAAAATAAATTGGACACGGCTGGCGATACAACGGATCGTGATGTCACGTGGTAGCAGGTGCATCAGAAGTAGATGCGAGGGGAATTACATCGACATGTTGGCTGTTTGTTGAAACAAACTCGCATTGGACAGTTATAGTTTCTGAACCAATTACTCACATGGTATATAACGTAAACCATAAGAAGTGGCATCGAGTTAATTAATATCACAATGTATCGCCTAAGGAAATGTACTTGTAATGTTACGATTAAATCCACGATGTTCCCGTCACAGGTTAACATCTAATGATGTAATCTGAAATCTGCCTTCAATCATAAAAATGTTCTTTTGGTTAATAATACTGATTATTTCAGTGTGTTGTGCGCCACTCGGAGACTTTCTAAATAAAGACACACTATTTGATTGTAAATGCACATCCAACCTCAATTTTGTGAATACCATCTGACTTAGCATGAGCGCATGGCGCATTCAGTGTAGCTTATACGTTCGCAATCGGAGAGAAATCTCAGAAAGTCGGACGATCTATCATCGGTTTGAAGATCTCAGTAACAAAACGATGAAACTTTGACAATTGCCATCGTTGATGCTACCCACAAGTTAATAGGGACGTTACCCCGGTTACAGGTTAGTTTCTGTTCACGTAGTGTACTCTAATAGATGTAACAGGTATACACGTCAGTGTAGTTTATAGCTCAAGTGGATCTTCAACCATAGATTGTTACCTGATAGAGTATACTGTGCGCTGTTGGTATTTGCATCATATATGCAATGTTTTGTCGATGTTATGAGAAGCTCAGACACGTTGTATTCAGCTGTTGGCCCAAGATGTAGGTAAACCGTACGAAAACGTCATTGGCCAAACGTGCGTTAGGAGAGAGTGGATGGACTTCCTTCCTTGTTAATAATAAACAAACAATATACAAATACTTCAACAGGTTGTTAAAAACATAAATTCTGAGAAATATCGCACTGTTCACACAAGTTCTGTCACAGACAAACTATATTGCGTCTACATTGCGAATTAACTTTATTTTTAAACTTTATTCTCACTCACCTGCAGATGTTGGTTCGGTTCACTACCGCTGATCACTCGTGGCCCATCTCCGATTGGGACTGGACCAACCCTGGGTGTTATTTTGTTCAGTTTAAAGACCTTTCGGTATTCTTTTTTGAAGTTGTCCTGTATGTGGGAAAAGTAGTTTCAAATTCGACAAAGGATTGTGCAAATTGCGTGATATTTTAATAACCGAATAATGTTCAAGTAATTCGTTAAAGCTAATACAAAATCCCAGGAAGAAAGATATAATTATTGGACATATTTGCTGGAATGGGATCTGCAATTACAAAATATATTATTGAAATTATAATGTAATCCCCAATAATTATTATGAAATGTTGTTCAAGAAGTGAATTTTTACATGTCTGGGACGGGATATAGGTCTGAAACAACTGGGGAGAACTACGGTCAGTTTTACAGAGTAATGCTCCTTTACGCTACTCTGGGTACCAGGAACAATATGTGAACTAATTATCCAAACTGTTCTAATTTTATTTTCAGTACAGATTATATTTAATATTTACTTATAATTAAACAATTTTACATCTTAAATATTTCATTTGAAAATTGTTATTATGTAGCTACTAAACAATAACACGTTAAAACAAACAAACAAACAAACAAACAAACAAAGTAACAGACAAGCAAACAAGCAAGAACACAAACAAAACAACGAAATATATTTTATATAAATCAAAGTGCATTGTAACTATGATAAGATCAACTAACGAAATAATACGAATCATCCAATTAAATAATCAAACAATAATCACTAAATTGAGGATTACGCTGATTTAATCGAAAACGAAAGTTGTTTTGCAAATAGATTGTCCAACGCTTAGAAATAAGCTCAATCCCCGTTTTTTTTGTCAGGACATTTCTCATATGATGTTTAATTCAAGAGTGATATGATATGTCACGGTTGTTAAATGTGTCAAATAGTGAAAAATATATTTTCTTTAGGCGATATATTTATTATAATAGCAGATTCAACAATGTTCCTACTGAACTTCAGTTTGGAAAAGCAATACCACTCAAGACTTATAATTGCCACGCCAGAAGTACCTTACTTTAATCTTACCCAATTTACATCGTGCATGCGAACTCCTCACTTATTCTCCCATTTTTGAACTCTAGAACCACACTGCTTTCAAATGATCAAATGAATATTAGTTGTTAAGTTATTCGATATCCCCTAAAGGGTTAGCACTCTGTCTAATTAGTTTTCTGAATCAATGTTTTGCCTAAATGGATAGTTATAAGATATGATTTATATATGACTGTAAATGTATAAATGAGAATTTATCGCCTCTAGTGTACACTTACGTTCAGTAATCCATAAACGAAGGGATTGCACGCAGCGTTGCTCATTGCTAGCCAGTTGCTGCAAAACCATATAATGCTAATATGCTCGTACCTAGAAATGGGCAAACGAGAAAAACCCGATGTGAATAATAAGAAACTGCATATTATATTCATATCATATTTGAAATAGTTGCAATTGTCGTAAAATATTGAGTACTATATTAAAAGGTTGAGTCAGATATAAAAACAATGGTTAGCCGTATTGTATTGATTATTGCATTCGAGTTTAACCATTAAATTTAATGATTGTTTCCATAGCTGGGACAATTACCAGATTTATGAAAGATACACGACCCATGGTTTGGGGGGAATTACCCAATAATGATTCGCTCGCCTGGCGAAGTTAGCGTCAATTGGGAAATGATATTGAATCGTTATTTCTTACAACACACACATGATTGACTTATCTGTGCTACGGTGGTTTACCGAAAGATTAATGGATTGTTTTTAGTAACTCACCTCAAAATGTCTGGTGTAACGTATTTCAAGAAATCGTACAGTTGAAGCGGCAACCAACACAATGCAAATAGAACGACTAACACCATTCCCATTGTGATTACCTACAGCCAAAAACGCCATATGTACTATTGATCGATAGTGTATAACTCATTCACACACGTGATGATGACATACGTACTGATAATCACAGGATTTATGTGCATTTTTTTCAAATATTTGTTTTTCCTCTTTCAAATTCATGGTAAAAATCTCAGAACCAATATTGAACATTTCATAACATGAAAAAAACAAAAAAAGTTTATAACAACATACTATTCAAAGAAGAAAGAGCTTTAAATCTGGCCAATCTAGCGTGATAGCCAGGCTAGGACGTGATGACACATAATTCAGTACGTCATTTACGCGAACAAATAAAAAAGGAACGACAACAAGTTATAGGAAATCGAATGGAACGAGCGGGAAATCAAATGCTCTAGTGTCATATAAAATCCATTAGCAGAGATGAATATATTTAACGTTTTGTTTTGTCATGCGTGAAATGTTCGCCAGTAAACCTCGTGAGAAAAATAAGTTCAAAGTACTTTCAAGATAATTTTGTTCATGAAACATATCTGAATTCTGTCGAAATACAGATGATATTGGATGCTGCTTTGTCTATGTTTGACGAGGGACAACGTGGGTTTATAACAAACACTGTCCGTTAAACAGACGTTTGACTCTTGTGGTATCGATTGACCAATGAGACCGTGTCGTTTTTGTTTTACCGAATCCACGCTATGCGAGCAGTTTACACACCGGTCCAGGATTCTGGCTTCATTTGTGTAAGTACAATTGATGTATAACAATGCACAAAGCACTTGATGCATCAACAAAGACGTCGTATAACTAATTGTGCGACGTTCACTTTTCAATCATAGAATCGTCTTTTATTGATTGCTCGGCATTCACTATCATCATTATTGCCCTGTCAGAGAGAACAGCTATTGCCTACTAGTAAAAGTGAAACAGATGTGTGGCTATTTGTATAGGGCATAGATACTTGCGGAAAAAGATAATCCCGGCATAAAATGTGGGATAAATAATAAAACGTTAATACGCTGATTTTAATTTCCAGATGTGGATCTTGAACTGAAGGCCAAAAATGCTAAGTTTACTAAAGCGATCAATTGCATGCAAACGCTACCTTGAGGGGGGGGGGGAGGTTATGTACCAATACTTTAATAGCGACTACATTACTTTGAAATGTTAATAATATCAACCCATATACTGAATTTTAAGCTATATTTACCTTCTTTTTGTTCTTAGCAATGTTTTTGTCTCTAGCATTGTTACTCTCCCCTGGTGTTTTGGATAAATACATCTTCTTTACAATCAAGCTGTACGCAACGGTGATAACAAATAACGGCACAGCATAAGACGTGACAAAGATATACAGATGATAAATATTTCGACTTTTTTCACTCGACCATACTGGCGCGCAAAACACCCGTCCGTCAGGAAACCCATAATCAAGTATTCGCAGGTTCAGCAACTGCGGAATCGATGTACATATACCATTTATCCATATTATGCTCATGGTGATAACCGCAGAATATGGTGTTAGTCTTCTACGTAACGGGTGACACACCGCAAAGTACCTGTCCACGGATATAACAGTCAAGGTACCAATGCTAACTAATATGGAAAGCGTTTTGACGAACGGTACAAATGGACACATAAAATCACCAAACGGCCATCTGAACAGAATCGCAGGAGCGAATTGGAATGGTGTAGCGAACAGTCCTTGAATAATGTCACTTATGGCTAGGTTAACTAGGAATGAGTTCGTAATCGTTCTCAGTTTCTTGTTCCGCAAAACTACGAATATAACGAGAGCATTTCCAAGAACAGACATCAAAGAGATGACACCATAGAGAAGAGACAAAACTACAGTAATCGTCAACGAAGGACTGGAATTGAACACTGCAACAGTGCCGTTGCTAGCCATTTCAATGGATGATGTACTCGAAGTATCAACTTCAGGCTCACTTACGAATATATTAATATAAATCCTGGCATGGACAGAGCAATCAGAAATAAATAAACAATTTAGCATCCATTGTGAATCAACACCACTTATATTGTGTTGTCCCGAAGGTCTTCGATACTTCACGTTCTCATTCGACCATCGCTAATAGATAGGGTCGCTATAGTCACAGCCAGTTTATATATATTTAAACATTCGAAAATCCTGAAAGAAAAAAACAAACAAACAATTAACCAACATCGTGAGAACAACGAATTGTTTCATTTTGTCTGACGTAAACATACAATCAAATGAAGTCAAGCAGAAATCTGTTCCGTATATTGTGTGGCTTCAATTGCGAAATCTATACATTGGTGAATTGACTTCTCATGAAACACATACATTGAAAGCATCAAGAAAGCTAGTCTAGCTGTATGATGACGTGTTATAGTAGATTTTGAGTAGGCGTCTGAAACCAGAAAACAACATAGTAATACACGACAAAAGTACATGACGTTCTCCAGTGATTGATGAGTCGTACATATAACAGGACAACTTTAAGATGAATTGGTTTCAAATGTATCATCACACGATAGCAACTTTACCAGTAATACATTTAATAAACGGAAATTAATCGTCGCTTATTTGACGCCGGCAAGACACATATCAATCTGTTTTAGAGACTACGTATTGTTTTTTCCTTCCTGGTGCCACAAACTGAGACAGAAGGTAACTAAGATATGTTCATCATATTGGAGACCACCACTGTATTATCCCTCAACTGAACACCGCACGCACGTATCAATCATTCACACCGATGACACTCACTGCGCAACTAAACTATTCAAATCTATGATATCCATATTATTCTAATTACGATCGCAAACTATGTAAATTTAAATTTAAATCCAGATCAGACCAGACAGTTTCTTAAGTTATACGAAATGATGATATAACCATGGTAACGGTGGTTAACTAGTTTAACCGTAGTAGATGCGATTAGTGAACACATTTCCTGATATTAATCTGCGTGAATGCTTGCATAATCGCAATCATACATCTGGAAATGAAGCACTGTTAGTTTCTAAGTTACTGAGATTATCTCGCCATGCAGTCGTGTTTTCGTACAAAAACAATCACGGTAACTATAGTTTCAGAAATATACTGATTATACCATTGGAGTGTAATAATAATTGGATTTCATTACGTCTATATTGCGTGGCTATTACTGCATGCTTTGTGTGTTGTATTTTACAGGAATAAACCCGAAATTGTTTGATATCGATCACAGATGAATAGGTTTGCGTGTTTTGAAGAAGCGAATGATAATAGTGGCCTTGTGAGACATGTATCATAATAACCACATTTCTATATAGGCAGATTTTTTAAACTCAGCAGGTAATATGACCTTTTACATGCAGCAACGTTTGTTTAGGCGTGACGAAACGAGCAGAGCAATAAATAGAGGAAATAAGAGCCGATTAGTACCATGCTGTCTTGTTGATTGCGACTGATTCAAAGTAGCATGTAATAATATATTGCTGAGCCTGTGTCGTGGGGCAATAGAAACCCCGTAATTCATTTCAATCGCGCCAATATACGGATTTGTTACGAAAAACGAACAATTACAAGTTCATACTGTTGTTTGGAACAACAAATGTGTGATGTAAGTAGAAATAACATAATGTGTATTATTATACATCTGTCACCGTAACGCCATAAGTTACAGCGTGCCGTAATCATGCGGTATTTCATCCTACCATATTAGGAAATGCGAATTCCAAATCTGGAATGATTACGCGCGTAAGCGTCCTCTAATAATAAAAAACAAACATGGCTGCCACCAAGGTTTGACCGGACTCAACACAGAGAAGTTCGCTGACTCCACACAAAGAAGTTCGCTGATTTTGTTCTAAACTTTTTGGATTTCAGCATTCCCATGATGTATACTTGGAAGGAGAGGATGTATAATAATAAGGTTATTACGAGAATACCTCAAAGTATGCGCTCAGACAGTACGCCGTTGCATCGAAACTCCCGCTGTACTGTCTTCGTGCAATATATAATCTTTACACTTAAAATAATGGAATATATATGTTGTATAATTTATCGATATTACGATATTGATATTTTGATCACGATGAAATAGTTTGCAATAATGTACATGACACACAATAAATAATCGAAGCCATAAAATGAATTATATTCATGAATTATTCGTAGAGTTTATGAATGTTATGAATGTATTTTGGAAATAAATCCATTTTCCCCAGTTGAAACTTCAAATGAATGAGTGAAACATGCCAATAATTGCATAGGCCGACAGCCAACGGTAATATCAACGGATAAATTACTATATGTAACTGATACCAATAATAACATTTAGATGAATAAAGCATAAAATACGTATTGACATAAAAATCAATTCATAGAAGAAGTCACTTTTCACGCTAAGTCAATATATTTTAGATAAACATAACTATTTATGAAAGACTGAAAATTCTACACGAGTTGCGCAAAGATGAAATTGACACCATACAACTATACACATATTTAGTGGAATATTTCTACTACAGACACATTTTACTTTCAACGTGATACAGAGTTGATTTCAGCGATATTTATTGCAAATCAAAGTACACAGTCAAAGACTGAACACAATTATTCCTGGCTAAAAATTAAAATATTTATATTTTTTAAGTGAATTGCAAGTGAGGGATTTATTCAGTTATCACTTACCAAGGTCAGATAGGTCATCGACTAGATTGAATTCATTTTGATACAATATTTGTGACAGCACGACACGGACAACTGCGTTAACGTTGTTAAATATAGTTAAGAATATAAACGGAGTAACGGTTGCCAACACATGTAGTAGACGCTAAAAACGTTGAATCAATGGTACTTATTCCAGCTTCTATGACCAACGACGTCAACGTTTAAAACTGTTTACAATAAAACCGGATAAAGTATTTTATGACAATATACGTATGCATAGATCATTGCATTTCAATAAAGGGGTGGGTGAACATCGCAACAGCATGTTGTGGGCAATTATTCGTTATTACAATATCATCGCGCCATGGGAACCTTATGAATATTGTGACACCAGAAATTGTGAACGTTTAAACTAGGAGTGAATTTAAAATCTCATGACTGTCGTTATTAATTAGGATATTTATTATAGTATATCGCACGTTTATAATAGATTACAAATTATGGTTGCAGCCCGCAAATAAGGCACTGTGTGAATACAGAGAGACAGCAGAACAGTTGGTTTATATTCCCAGCTTCACGACGCTTGGGTGGTCAGCAGTCATAATTCCAATTTATTGCCATCAATGTAGCACGGCTTGCAGGCAATGAATCATTGACCAGCCAGTGACTTAAATCAATTCAAGTATATTCTGACTGACCGCGGGGACTTATTATTTTAACTGAAATGAAATAAATCTATCGAAATATAGAAAAATTTTATGTTTTTAAATAGTGAATAGTAGACTATGCCATATAAAACTGCGCCTATACGTCAAGAATCAGAAATAATTGCGCAGATAAAAACGTAATGGCATTGTGTTATCACATATATACTTTTACTGTATGACTATATTTACTAATATTGTTTTTAAATTGGAAGCTATAAAATATAAAAACGGGTTCAACGCAGTGTGGCATCGCATAAATACGGTATTATTACATGCACAAAGTTATTCCCCTTTGAACGTAAAATAAGGCTTTTATGATCAGGTCGTGTTACGTCCTTGAAAGTCGTGGCGATGTTATTACTTCTGCGCAGACGGAATTATATTCACCACGTTTAAGTTCTCGAAATAAACAGATAAATGGAAATTTTGCTTTTAAACGTAATGACAGAAAATTATAAAACGAATAAATTGGATTACAAAATATTTTTAATACAAATAATATATATGAATGAATCGCCGCTGTACTCTAACAGCGCGTGATTAACATGTCAAGCCATTAAAACAGACGAACGAAAATCATCGTGATTCCAGAAAGCATATTCTTAGCACGACCATCTATAGCTATTTTTGAACACTATATTACCATCCACGTGAAGCCATAGCATTTATTCACTCAGAATGGTCGAAGATCACACGTTTCGTGACGCCAATCGCAGGGAAGGGGCGTTCGAATCGTCAAATTCTGAACGCAGAGACTACATGTATTCAAAACAAGCTCCCAAAGAAATTAAGAAGAAGAAAACAAACAAGAAACCCACAACTTTCTTTGTGAATTTGATAATAAGTATTATCTCGTCTTATTCTTGCAGCAAGTGAGTGCCTTGGTGTCAATGCACTGCTCAATCAAGTGCAGGTGTGTACCAATTTAATGTCAATAATTAAAGATACTGTCGACACACGGAAAATTTAGTGCTGTAATATAATTTGGCTAAAACCGTCATACACTGGTAATCGCAACTTATTGCCTACGACATCTGTGTTCATTATCGCTCAGTATTACATTCTGTTCACCTAAAAAGGATCAGATCATTTGCTAAATAAAAATTAATGTCATTGTCACTATAGGCAATTCAATATGAATATTCAGCAAAAATTAGCAGGTAGACATAGCTTTATACATATCCCCGTTTTTCCTTAATACGATAAGTTAAACTCGATATAGGTTGCGTGGATAGTAAATATAAGATACAATGGTCACTAAGTAAAAGAAAAACAAATATTTAGGTGTTCATGAAGTAACGCATAACCTGGTTATTTTCTTAGGTTAATACAATTTATTCGATCGCAAATTTATTAAGGTTGCAGGTCCGACAAGAATGTTTATTGTTGAAATCGTCAGTTTATGGGAATCTTATTTTAAACGTAGTTTTACATTTTTTCATTATTTATTAATACTACACGAACACGCTGAAAAAGTATTTCTTCTATCCATATACTTGCATACAGTCTATTGCTTGTTTGTTGGTGTTTAGTAATCAGACTTTCGCTATTTACACA